CGAGCAATGGAACTATATTAGCACCCCCAAAACGTACTTAGCACTATGAAAGAGGACCTCACAATTAACTCAATTAANAGTGGCGCTCAACTTCCATTTCTGCAATTTTGTTCTGATTTCGCTCCAATTCGTGCCCTTTCGTCCCAAATTGCATCCGAATGATTCCTACACATAGAAATACCAAAATTTAGCACAAACAATCATATTAAACACCTCAAATCGTCGAGACATGAGCAAAATGTGAGGCAGTATATATCAAAATATGCATACGTTAAGCCGATTATCAATAGACATTCAAGAAGGCTGACTTGACGTCTAGTTGATGGATCTTCCACTTTATTTGCACCACCAAAGAGATCAACAAACGAATCGTCTCCATGCGGGCAACAGGTGCATAGACTTCTTCATAGTCAATGCCTTGCCTTTGCTTATAACCTTTAGCCACAAGTCGTGCCTTGTATCTCTCCACATCTCCATCAACATTCTTCTTTGTCTTGTATTCTCATTTAACTCCAATTGCGCGATAACCCTTGGGAAGAGTTGTTAACTCCCAAGTGTTGTTCTTCTCTATTGACTTGATATCCTCCTCCATGGCTTGTCTTTACTTTTTGTCTGTAACAGTTTCATCAAAGTTCATTGGTTCACTGTCAGTAAAAAGACAATATAAAAAATCAAAATTAGTAACTTCTTCTGTGTCCTCATAGAGCTCTTGAATATTCCCTGTCCTTTGCAGTTATTTATTTGAACTTTCTTGAGAAGATGGAGATGCAACATTGGTTGGTGAAGGAGGTGGAGTTGTATCTTGCACAGATTTCACGGTCTTTGGTTTTTCTTCATCACCAAAGTATGGAAGAAAATCATATCAAGTTTCTTCCTGAGATTCCTAATTCCATGCCAATTCTTCGTCAAATTCAACATCGCGACTTACCACTACTTTGCCGCTGCTTGGGTTGTATAACTTGTAGCCTTTTGAACTCGTATCATAGCCAACAAACACATGCTTGACACTTCGATCGCCAAGCTTCGCTCTCCCTTGATGTGGCACATGAGCATAGGCTATGCTTCCAAAGATTATCAATTGCTTGACACTTGACTTTCTTCCACTCCATGCTTCTTGAGGGGTTTGATCTCTAACATTCCTTGTTGGAGACCTGTTGTTCAAATAAACTGCACAAGAAACAGCTTCGGCCCAAAATTCCTTGGGCATACTTTTAGCTTTTAACATACATCTAGCCATATTAAGAATCGTTCGATTCTTTCTCTCTGCATTTTCATTTTGTTGGGGTGAATAAGGTACCGTTAGAGGGCGACTAATTCCATGAGACTGACATAAATCATTAAATTTTTTTGAAGTGAATTTGCCTCCTCTATCGGACCTTAAAGCTTTTATTTTATAGTTACTTTCTTTCTCCACAAGTATTTTAAAATTTTTAAAAGCAGCAAAAGCTTCAGATTTTTTGTTCAAGAAATAAACACAAGTCTTTCTACTAAAGTCATCAATAAAAAGCAGAAAGTATTTACTTTTACCAAAGGAAGGTGGATTGATTGGTCCACACACATCAGTGTGAACAAGCTGAACCGGTTTGGTTGATCTTGACATGGACTCCTTTGGAAAACTCCTCCTTGCATGTTTTCCAAGAAGACAAGCTTCACATAATTGATTGGGATGGTTGATTGATGGTATCTCATGCACCATATTCTTTTCTCCCATTGATTTGAATGCTTCAAAATTCAAGTGCCCAAATTGCATGTGCCAACACCATGATTCATCTTGCACATTAGCCTTCAAACACTTTGCATCAATTGTTTTAAGATTCAGAGAAAATAATCTATTCTTTACCATATGCACTTTAGCAATTAGAATTCCACCAGAATCTCTTTAGCCAAAGATGCATATTTTTCATGTGGATGTCATATTTCTTTTCAAGAAATTGGCCCAAACTCAAAATATTACTTTTTAATTTTGAGACATAATAAGCAACTTGAATTAACATGTGGTCACCATTTTTACAGGAGATTAGAATCGTACCTATCCCTTCGATTTGAATCTTTGAGGTATCTCCAAAGGACATATTACCTCTCACCGTTTTATTGATCTCCACAAACTTCTCTTTGCATCCACACATATAATTACTTGTTCCATTATCCAAATACCACGAGCTACAATCATTCACGTCTTCTTCCTTGAGTGCCAACAACAACGTTGACTCATCTTCTTCTTTCTTGTCGTCAACAAGGTTAGCTTTTTCTTCAACATTGCTACGACATTCCCAAGAGAATGTCCAATTTTATGGCAATTATAACACTCAATTTTTGATTTGTCATACATTTGTCCATTATTTTCTTGGTAGTAGCTACGTCCTCTTCTTTCTCTTTGTCCACGGCCACGACCTCTGAATGTTTGGTGGATTTTAACTTCATTGTTGAAGTTGTCTTCCATGACCTCCACGGCCTCGTCCTTGTCCATTCCCTCGATAGCTCTTTTCACCTCCATAATCCTTAAAGGATGCCTGGGTTTTAAGAAGTTGCTCCAATGACACTTCTTGTCTCCTCTTGATTTTTTCTTCACGGGCCTGTAAAGAACCCTCCAATTGCTCTACCATCATAGAGTCTAAATCTTTAGACTCCTCAATAGCACACACTACAAAATTAAATTTAGGTGTTAAAGTGCGAAGGATCTTTTTTACCACACGGACATCTTCTATGTCCTCCCCGTATCTTCTCAATTGATTTACAACAGCTTTCACTTTTGAACAATAATCCGAAATGCATTCAGATTCTTTTATTTTTAAAACTTTAAAATCAGCCCTTAGAGTTTGAAGTTTTACCTTCCTCACCTTATCAACTCCTTGAAGAGAATTTTGTAAAATCTCCCAAGCTTCCTTTGAGGTGGTCATCTGCCACCTTCTCAAACATAGCATCATCCAAACATTGGTGGATGAGCGTGAGGTCTTGTTGATCCTTCTTCCTTGTCTTTGCCAAGACATCTTTTTCATTTTGAGGCAGAGCTTCCTCATTATCGGGTTTTGCATACCCTCTATCTACGATTTTCCACACATCCTGGGGCTGAGAGCCAAGAATGACTTTCATACGTAGACACCATTTCTCATCATTATCTTTTGTGAGACGGGGGTACTGAAAAGACAGCGGACCATTATTCGTCATGGCTCTGATACCACGTTGTTGGAAAAAATAATATCCCGCCCAGGAATAATATTCACGATAAATAATAATGACACAAGAGAGTAACAATGACACCAAATCTTTTAACATGGTAAAATACAATACACGAGAGGAGAAATATAATACCACTATAATATTACAACTTTGTAGTGTCAAAAGACTACTACTACTCAAAAGAAATAACACTCTTTATTTTAAGTATCTCACCACAATATTACTCTCATTCTATTTTCTCACAGACTATAAAATAGTTTGTGGATTACTCTCACAACTCTAATACTTCTCTCTTATTTTTGGTATATTTGAAATGAGGAACGAGGGCCTCTATTTATAGCAGGAAGAGTTGATAGTTTAACCAATCAAAATTGATTAGTATCTGACAATTTCAACCAATTTGACAATTTACATATCTTGCAAATTCTTCCACCGCCCAGCCGCAAATCCAACCAATCAACATTTTTTGCATATGCAATTTGCATATAATGTCCACAAAGTTAGGCACTTGCCATCCCATTATTTCTTCTTTTCCTTTTGTTTTCTTCAATATGGGCCCCACAAATCATTCCCTCATGAGTTATGTTTTAGGGTCGAGTTAGAAATTCCTTCACATGGTATCAGAGATATATCTATGGTTCATGTTGTTTTGTTTCTCAATGTTGAGCCCCCTTACGTTATCCACGCTCCAGTTGTCTAGTATTGGGCGTGTTGGGGAGTGCCAAGTCCCACATTGGTTGAGAGAATGGATAATAATCTCTTTATATGGTGTTGGCGGTCCTCCCATTATGAGTTAGTTTTTGGGTTGAGTTAGGCCGAAGTTTCATTTCTTCGCGCATAATGTTTTAGAGTTTGAGCAGTTTGAGAGTAATTTAGTTGATTCTTCTGTCTTCCTTTCTTCTTCTTGTATTAGTTGGGTCTTCATTCTTGGTTCTTCTACTAGCCATTGCTCATCTTCAGTTCTTGCTTATCAAATCTTCAGCAATTTTCGATGAGTATCTTCAGTTCTCTTGCCTTGTTTAGATAGCTTATCAAATCAGCTATAGGAATGACACCTTTTCAAGCCTTATATGATCGTGAACCTCCTAACATGATGAGATATCTTCTTGGTAGCAACTCTAATGATATGGTTGAACAACACATACTTCGAAGTGACGAGGTTCAAGCTGTCTTGGAGAAAAAAATATACTTATCCCCAGAAACATATGAAGGAAACAACAGATAAGAAACTCTGGGATGTGCAGTTTGACATAGGTGACTGGGCTTACGTAAAGCTTAAGCCACACAGGCAGGTCTCATTTCATCACAAGCATGCCGGTGCTACAATATATTGAGCCTTTTCGAGTATTGAAATGAATTGAACAGGTTGCCAATAAATAAGATTTTCCTGAAGCGGGCGGGCACTCATCCAGTATTTCACATTTCTATGTTTAACAAGTGATTCGGTAACCCTGGACAGCCAACAAATTACTCCACTACGGTTGACAGATTCCTTTGATCCGAACCTTCATGACAAGGTTCTATCTTTGATATGAAACCTGCCACGCTGAAGGTGGGCAATCCAGCTGAGAGTCTAAGGTGGATTACACGATGAAGACACCCTTCTAGAAGACTCAATGACTATATTAATTTGGGATCCTGGCTAGACTAGTTAGACATTATGCGGGAGTTAGTTAAATTGGGATTGGACGTGTAGATAGCTTAATTTCCCGTAGTATTGCTCTGCTGGTATTTACTAAAGCAATTCTTCGATCGTTCCCAGTTTAGCTTGTGTTTGTGAATCCCCATCCTTATATTTATAAGCTAAGTTTTCTTCTAAATAATATTTCACTTCTTGTAATTGCCTTGTAATGTTCACTTTTCAGGTATGTGTATTCTATTTGGTTCTTCGCGCACTTGACACTGTTGGTGTGTAAAACCACTGCTTGCAATATTTTTATTTTTTTGTTTTTTGAACATTTCAATTAGAATTACCTCACTTTTGTTATTCATATGTTATTTGTTGTTCTTTTGGACAGAGGATGATACCAGCATAGCCACAGAGGTTAAAGTACCTATTCTGATAGCTTTTCATCGACACATATATGATCATGAATGGCATTTTTCATGTGAGTAGTCTAAATTTATATTTCTTTATTTTGTTTCTGTTTTTCTACTCCAAGCTGCATATTTGTTAATTTATATTTCATGTGCTCAATCCCAGTTTTTGTTTGTTAGGTGGTACAAATGCCTACAAGGATCTCATGGACCATTTCCATCATGTTTCGACTGCTTTTCTGGAACTTGGGAAAAAGTGAGTTCTTTTCTTGTGGTAGTGCTAGTTTTAGAAGAGCCTCATCATGCTAGTTTTCTCATTTTACATGCTTTGAGAATCAGGTTCTTATAGCTATGTGAATACTTTGTGAATCAAACATTATATTCATGTAATTTTTATAGCTATCAGGAGGTGATTGAGGATATTACTATGAGGATGGGTGGAGGAATGGCTAAATTCATAAACAAGGAGGTACGTCATATATATTACAACCAAGATAATCAAAACTTTTGTCGGAACTGAGTGAACTCACTTGCAGTAACATTTCTGAAAGAAATTGATTGTCAATAATAACTGTTGGCCTACTCAGATGCTAACATTGTTATTTTATACAAGTCATCTTCTATGTATCAAGGCTGGCAAAACTCACATAAAACCAGTATTAGGCTTCGGACGTTGCTGATTTCAAACCTCTAGTGATCGATATCTAGAATGTGTGAAATGCAAGATACTCTTTTCCAACGTTGTACATCTTCTCTAGATGTTTCGTTGATCCCTCAGTCTCCTTCATTTTTTTTTTTTTAATTACAATTGATCTCGTCCTGCAGATTGAAACAATTGATGATTACGAGGAGTATTGTCATTATGTAGCTGGGCTTGCAGGATTAGGCTTGTCAAAACTTTTCCATGCCTCTGGTAAAGAAGATTTAGCTCCAGATTCTCTCCCCAATGCTGTGGGCTTATTTCTTCAGGTATTGACCTTAACCTTAGCAGGACTAGGAGCCAGCGTGGCAATCCTCGCAATGTTGTTGTTTTAGGGAAGTAACAGTAACGTATTTTTTTCAGAAAACAAATATCATTAGAGATTATTTGGAGGACATAAATGAAGTACCCAAGTGTCGTATGTTTTGGCCTCGTCAAATTTGGAGTAAATATGTTAACAAACTTGAGGTTCTGTCTTCTTCCTGTGCTAGCTTGATCATCTTACAATTTCTCATCCTTTCATTTTGCCTGTCACTGTAGTCTCATGACCTATTCAGTTAAGCAGACAAACATTTGTGTCATTTTGAGGTTCACTGTTTTGCAACTGGCATCTTTCTCAATGTGTCTCAGGACTTGAAGTTCGAAGAGAACTCGGTCAAGGCAGTACAATGTCTCAATGACATGATCACTAATGCTTTATCACACGTGGAAGATTGTCTAGTTTGCCTATCCACATTACGCGATCCAGCTATCCTTCGATCCTGTGCTATTCCACAGGTACGTACTGAAGGTCTTTCCTGACTTTTTATGCTTGTATATTCCATTGTACTGTTTATATTTATCCTCTCCTTCTTACTATCTGTTAGCATTTCTCCTTCTTGTTGTTGTATTTTTGTAACTTCTTACCTTCCATAGAACACGAAATACTTCTGGTATTTTCATCTTAAAATATGCTCTGGCTAGTGTTAGTTTCTTATCCTTTACAGATCATGGCTGTCGGAACATTGACAATGTGCTACAACAACGCTGAAGTCTTCAGAGGTGCTGTAAAAATGAGACGAGGTACGAGATATGATCCCTCAACATGTAACTTGCCGATAGATTTTTCATGCCAAATTGCTCACATGTACTGTTCTGATGACTTATCTAGCCCCTAGAAAATTTGACCAATTTCTGACGTGTTCGATCTTCCTATAAAGTTTTGTCCATAAAATATTCAGAATTCTCTCAACACCATCAAGTTATCATGTGGTTTCTTCAATGCAGGTCTCAGTGCCAAGGTTTTTGACCAAACCAGGACAATGGAAGATGTATATGGTGCTTTTTTCCATTTTTCTTCTATACTGAAATCCAAGGTATGATGCTTATATTTATTCTCTGAGCTAGCTTTGATTCCTACATTTAACTTGATCATTCTAAAAGATCAATAACTATTGTTAAGGATGCCTTAGCTTTTCGCATTCAGTTCCTCAGATTCTGTGTATGTATACATCTTTCTGCAAGTATGGTACTGTCCCTTAATGTGGTGTTTATGCTTTCCGAGCCGAGGGTCTATTGGAAACAGCCTCTCTATCCCCACAGGATAGGGGTAGGGTCGCTCATGTAAAAGCAGACCCCGTATTGCATGGAAATATTTGCCTAATGTCTTTCTGAGATGTGAGGTGATTGTTTTTTTCAGGTTGACAATAACGATCCAAATGCGACAAATACTTTGAAGCGGATTGAATCAATCATGAAAACTTGCAGAGACTACTCTGGAACCTTGTCTAAAAGGTTTTCCAATTATATTATTATTGGTTTTTTTTTCTTGGAAATTTGGTCAGCTTCATCTATCTAACCACTAGAAAAACTTTATCTTATCAGGAACAAACCTAATTACATACCAACTTTGGTAAGTTTTCTGCTAACACATATTTCTGTAATTGGAAAATTCTAATTCCTTGAATACTTTGTGCAGATTATTATCTTTTTCATCGTAGTGGCTATTCTTCTTGCTTACCTGTCTGCAAAAAGACCCTAGACCCTTGGTACGGATTGGATATACTGTATTTTATTTGACCAAATGAAGAACTTCATATAGGTTTTTCGTTTTTTTATTTTAATTCATGCCACCCTCATGTGGTTCAAATGTATGCTTTTTATTGGTCCAACTCAACTTGAACGGATTATTCATTGTTGCGGAATTGCATAATTTTGAAAAATAATTTTTTAATTCTTAGTAGGATCCCCTGTATTATAAACTTCCAATTACCCTTTACAAAAACCAGTTTGACCTCTTAAATCTAGGCAAAAATTGTGATGAACAGAGTAGTACATTATGTTCTTTTGAGATCTATGTAACCGGTTTATACTTATTTCACATACTTTAAACATTTATCTTTTATAGATCTTACCCAGACTAAAATTTCTTCTTAATAGAAGATAAAGCACGGAAACGCCCTAAGAATACGCGACGTAAAGTATTGAGAATTGAAACTGCTCTTGCTGTATATTGGTCCTAGTGTTTTATCTCATGAAGTTGGTGAATGATCTGGGCAAAGCAATATAGAAGATTGCATTTATTAAAAATCTTATATGTGTACAATATCCTAGTCAACTTCAGTGTTGGTCTCCACGTCCTCTGTAGCTCTAATATGTGTATCAATATCCTCCGAATGAGCAATATCGTTGTCCGAAAGGGTGAAAGAAGGAAATCTGGACCTTAGTGTTGAAGCTAACTCCAATGTAGCATAAGAGTCTAAGTCCTTCCATTCGATTAAGCCACAACACCTATCCTTTCCACAGTAGGATAGGGACCAAACTATCGAAAACTCAGCTTATAGTAGGGAGAAACAGAGAGTGTAGACTGTCTATAAAGTTGGAGTTTGACAGAAGTCCAATCTCCCTCTTGGAACTGCTTATCAGATAAATGAGAATTGGCTTGAGCTTGCATCCTTTGCTGAGCTTTGAACAGGTGGATAGCTATCCAAGAGTTCAAAGGGTAAGGTTTGAATAGCAGAATGATGGTTAGAATTGTTTCACCATTCAGCCAAAGGAAGGAAGGAACACCAGTCAATACAAAAGCAAATTAAGAAAGTTTCAAGACACCTATTGAGCACCTCAGTTTGGCTATCTATTTGAGGGTGATATGTTGTAGAATTAGCATAGTTACACCATGAAAAGACAAGAATTCTTTATAGGATTTTTGTCACAAGAAAACCATGAAGTTTAAAGATATGATCCAAGAACATAAGGACAAGGGACTGAGCAATGTAAGGATGAGTTAGTGCAACAAAATGAACATACTTGGTTAGTTTGTCCATAATAACTCAAATACCATATTTACTTTTAGACTTTGGCAATCATTTAAAGGAATGCATGTTGATGCCAGTCCAAGGTAGTGTAGGGATAGACAAGGGTTGTAAGAGACCCGAAGAGGCACTAATATCATATTTATTTCTCTAACAAATAGAACACTTATGAATGAAATCAATGATATCAGTTCTGATGCCCTTCCAATAGAAATAGGCCAACAACTTTCTAGTTGTAATATCAGCACTAGAGTGACCTCATGTACGAGTAGAATACCATAGATTTAAAATCTTAGTCCTCAAACCAGCATCATTACATATCACCAACTTGCCCTTCCTTCTAAGTTGACCATCATCCAGTATACTACTTTTGAGGACCTTGCTGTAAGGAGTTGATAAGAGTCTGCAACTCAAAATCTGACTTTCAACTGGCTTGAATTTCATTCTATAGATTAGCATGGATATAAGAGACTATTAAAGCCATAAATTCAGCACCTTGGACCCTAGAAAGAGAATCATCATCGATATTTTTCTTACCCTTTTTATACTTTATTTCAAAATTTAAGGGTAACAACTTGGCCAACCATCTAATTTGAAAATATATATGCAACTTCTGTTCCAAAAGGTACTTCAAGATTTTTTGTCGGTCTTCACAATGGAGTTTTGGCCTAAGAGATAGTGGGACCATTTAGTCACAATAAAAACCAATGCTAAAAGCTCCCTTTCATAGACAGACAAAATAACATATGTAAGAGCCAATCCCTTACTAATGAAAGCAATAGAATGACTAGCTTGCATAAGAATAATCTTGAAAGGTGACACTATATATCAAGTGTCATCAATAAAGACCAAAACAATTTTTCTTAGAAACTATTGGTACAAACGGTTTTTAAGGCATTACAATGTAGAAGGAGCATTGGTTAAGCCAAGAGGCATTACCAAGTACTCATAAAGGCCTAAATGAATTGGAAAGCTGTCTTGGGAATGTCCTCAATCACCATCCTAATTTGATGATAACCTAATCTGAGGTCAACCTTACAGAAAATAGTTGCACATGCCAATTCATCCAATAGATCATCTATAATAGGTATAGAAAATTTATCCTTCACTATACATTGATTCAACTCTCCGTAAAAAAAAAAAGTTATTCTCTCTCAGCGCATGATAGCGTGCTACTGCTAACATACGCTAATCAACAATGGGGAGGGGTAGGCCGAAGAGAAATGCAACTACGATTCAACTTGTGGATTATACGGGGACTGGCAACAACACTCAAATCATTAGAGCGCAGAGTGCTGAGATCGCCGATGCGAAGAAAACTCCAATGGAACAGTGGCCACCATTATCAACCACAAAGGAAGGTATGAAAACACCCCCTGCTATGAGTCCTTTACCGATAATTGATAGTGCAAAGATAACTACTGGTAATCAGTTAAAGGACATTAACCCTAGCTCAAGGAAAACTAATGTGCATGCGAGCAGTTCAGAAGTAATTACCGGTAATTTTGGGGGAAATTGGGGACAAGAAAGAGGATGATAAAAGCTAAGACAAATTGCTAGCTGAGAATACAGAGCAAGACCAAAAGAAGTAGGCAACTCTGTTTGTGGGGAACAAATTGGCAGTGAAAGGAATGGATCTAAGTTTCACTGCACCAACCATAAAAAATGGTGAAGTAATTGTTGAATTATGCAAGGAAGAAGTGGAAGAGGAGACACAGAAATGGAAGCAAGCCTTAATCCTCTATGTTGTTGGAGGAGCCCCAACCATAGGAGCTATGGAACATTTTATTGCTTCTGTTGATACTCAATTTTGCCTTCAAATTTTTTCAAAATATATACATGCCTTCAAAATAGAATTTTATGCATCATTATTTAGTTTACAAATCTATACAAGCATTTCCTATAATTTTCCATATTTTTAGAACTCTTAAATTAATTTTCTTGCATTTAAATTATATAAATATTCAGTAATTATCCCTTTAAATTATTTTATGATGACTTAATCATCCAAATTACTATTTTTGCATCCTCATACATGTTTCATAATATTTTTCATTTCATTTCATATAATTATGTTTACATTTTAAGCTATTTATTTAAATTTGCAATAGTAGCCTATATTTTGCATTCTTATTGCAATTGATATTTCAGTTAGAGTCAAAATAAAATTTTACATTCTATCATTGTTTAAAGTATTAATTTGCATAAGTAGAACTTTTTTAGCTATTTTATTTAATTATTTCCCTTTTAATTTCTATTTAAAAGAGCTGGCCCAATTTTGAGTTAATTTCGGACCAGACAAACCCAAATCCCTGGCCCAAAACCTCAAGCCCAATCCCAGGCAACCCTGCCCAGTCCAAAACTGACCCAGACCCCCTTAAACCACAACCGTTGATCAAAAATGATCAACGGCTCACAACCCCCATCCCCTCTTCTCTTATAACCCAATCCCTAAACCCTAGAGACCATTGTCTCTGTCCAGCCGCCCTCAAACGTTCCTCCCCCACCAAAAACCCTAATCGCCACCTTCTCCAAATTTTCTCCTAATCCCGGCTACAATGGAATTTTCTTCTTATTTACTTACCATATTTGTGTGTTTTCGCTACTGGTTGATTCTTCATGGTATCACCTAGTACTTGCCTAAACATGGCGAGTACTACCTCTCCGATTCTGTCCGAGTGAGTCCTATTTCTTGAATCTAGACCGTATTTTATCTACACGCGTCTGATTATACACTGTGTGAGTCTGATTTTGTTTGGACTTTGCTGATTTGCACTTTCCCTAAAAAACTAGGGTTTACCAGATTTTCTCTCTTAAATTGATTTCAAATTGATTTGCATGTTTCTTTTCCTTGTTTGGTGCTTAATTTATTCTGTTTCCTTATATGTTTGCTCGATTCTTGACTACTATATATACTCCCTCATTTTCCCTTTTGGGGACGGACGAAATCGATACAATCTCATTAAAATTTGAAGTTTTGCTCTGTTAATTCCTTCATTATCTTGTTATGTGTTTGTGTTGGCCGGCTAAAATCCAAGGCCACTGAGAATCTATTGTTCGAACTTTCTTGGTGCGAGCATTGTCCGGGGTTCTTTCGAAGCTCTTGGGAGCTTTGACGCATCGAGGTTTCTGGGTTCTTGTGGATCTTTTGTTCTTTATTGTTATCCGTTTAACTGGTAAGCCACTTGACTTTTGCAATTTCATCCCTATGTGTATTTGATTTACATGTGTTCTCACCTCTGAAATCCATGGCTTAATATGTTTTCTGGATTACTTTTGTGCACGATTCTGTTAAGTCTACTTTGTTCTAAGTCTCTTTAGCATTTAACTTCCTCCTAATGTTGCTAGTTCTCAGATTGCCTAAGTCTAACTTGGATAATCTGACCTCTTAAGTTCGTTTAGCCAGTGTATTGGTACCTGAATGTTCCCTAAAACGTGCTTATTTGCTTTGCCCTTAATCGCTATAATGAATGCTTCACACTTGTGTTAGAACTTCCTGTGTTAATTAGGACATGTTCCCCTGCTATTGTATCACTCAGCATGATCCCCATACCCCAGTAGTAATTGACTGAGATCTTAACAGTTACCTCACCTTGTTTTCCTTGCCCTGTTTGAACCATTTTATTTTATGGCATAACTTAGATCTTCATTAGTTAATTAGTCTATTGTGTCAATCCCAGAATCCCTACATGTGCTATTTGGTATGAACTTGCTCTCACTCTGTTCTGAATCTCTGTGATGCTTATCTTGCATACATAATGTGTTTAATGTTATAAGACCTTTTCCCTCAACTGTGATCTTGCTTCCCTGCTAATATGCCACCCAGTGTGTTTTAATCCCCTATTACTTCAGTAATTACTTGGCATGTCATAATGT